CAAACTGGAAACAACTCAAATACCATCAATGGAATACTATTCAGCAATGAAAATAAAGGAACTATTGTTACTCACAACCATACAAATGAATCGTACTGGCAAGTTGAGTGAAAGATGATGGAAACAAAAAACTACAATTCAATACTGCCTTTCTATATTAAGTTCAAAAATAGACAAAACTATATTATACCATTTAGAGTTATGGGAAGTAACTATTCTTAAAATCAGGAGAGTGGTCATGGGTATGGGGGAAGGAGGGAGTTTTGATTGGGACAAGGCCTTCTGGTCAGGAGGGGCACGACCAAGGTCTACTGCTTGACCTGGGCAGTGGTTACAGAGGGGTTTGCTTTATAGTAAAAAGCTCTACTCCTCATTTTATGCACTTTGTTATATGCCATCTGAGGTGGGGATTTCACAATAAAACTTTGTGTTAAAAAACAAACAAACAAGGGAGGGGCACCTGGGTGGCTCAGTGCATTAAGCCTCCGCCTTAGGCTCAGGTCATGATCTCCGGGTCCTGGGACGGAGCCCCGCATCGGGCTCTCTGCTCCGCGGGGAGCCTGCTTCCTCCTCTCTCTCTGCCTGCCTCTCTGCCCACTTGTGATCTCTCTCTCTCTCTAATAAATAAAATCTTAAAAAAAAAAACAACAAGGGAAACAATGAACTCAGAGCCATTGTTTAGATTTGTGGTAGTCAACACGCCGGTCTTTATCTTTTCCTTTCTTTCAAACCCATCCCAGTGGGAAAAGAAAATCATAAATTTGGGGAAAAATTACCACTGAAAGAATTCTGCATCACCTAAAATGTCCTTCTGTTTGGAAACAGAAGAACAGAGCAGCAAATATGCCAGTGCCTACTCCGTGCAAGAGAGTGAAGTCATTGTGTGTATACACAAATTGTGCTTTCTCTATTAGATGGTGGCAGCTTTCGTTCCTTTCTTTCAGCTGATATTTTAACAGACTATATCAATTTTCAAAGGTTGCACAACTTGGAAAGTTGCCTGCTCCCAGCCCAGCAAAAGTGAATTTGTTGAAAGATCAACCCCCAAATTAGTCTTGTTATCTTTCAAATAGTTTAGCTGTAAACAGGGCATCATATCTGATCATTCAAATAAATAAATCCTCTCTAAAGTCAAGGCTAAACATTTCTCCATCAGTTTAGGGAAACCGTACAGTCCAGAGATTCTGGAAACCCTTCCCCACCCCGAGCAAATGTGTTTCAACCTATTTATTATGATTGATTTCCAGACTACACTTCATGAAGCCCTTTGGGTTCTTTACTTGGTGGCCAAAGCATTTCTCTGCTTTAGCAACATCTAACTCACACCGCACCATTTAATCTATAACCTCTCTTCTTGAACAAGACCTCTCCAAACTCAAATACTCTCTCACCGCTGTTAGGTCTGTCAAATTTCTATCCACCCATAAAGTCTCCAAAAGATATTTTTCTTTCTCTTTGAAACCATCCTACTTTGCCTTCCCCACTCATCAATTAAATGAAGCCTGCTGCATGACTGAACTCCCAAAACACTTTGTAATTCTCATATGGCCCGTGTTTTACCTTGGTTACTGGGCCACGTTGGGAAGCTTGTCTCACCCTCAGAGGAGGACTATCTCCATCTTCCGAACGAGCAGCAGAAGCACTCCATCAATGCTCAAGCTGAATGAGATGTAAGGGAGAGATAAAGAGAAAAAATCTGATTAACATCCTAAAAAAAAGTTTAGAATAACTTTATCCAGAAGAATCAGCTGATGGTTGTTCAAATTATATACCAACGTGGATAGTTGTTGGTCAGCAACTGTGGTTTCAATTTACCATAAACTCTTGTCTTAGCAACGTTTCTTTGTTAAGGGAATTCCCAGCAAGTTTTTCTGGCTCTAAGAAGTTAAGTGATGCCAAATTAATAAATGAAATACTTGGGGGAAAAAAGCTGAGGTATTACAGAAACTTAAAAAGTCAACATAATGCATAGGAATAAAATACTTAGTAGAAAAATATGCAGCAGATAAAAACATGCAGGGGAAAAAAAAAAAAAAAAAAGCAGCACCAGAAATAAGTATCTTATGTCTGACTCCTCCTGGAAAGAATTCTAATTAAGTTAGCTTCATGTGTGCTGGTTGCATGGCTCCACTTACTTGCCATATGACTTTGGTCAAGGTAGTCAGTCGTCCCAAACCTCTATACCCACTTTGAAAATTAGCTATTACTTTGGGTTTTTATAAAGACTGAGACAATACATGTAAAATGCTTAGTGTGGTGAATGACAGGAATTGTGTTAAGCAAATGTTAGTGACCAGCGTAATTAAAGTTTGGAAACAACTTAAATATCTGCCAATAAGTGGTCCAAATAATAAATCATGGTGTACCCATAAGATGGAGTACCATGTAACTCTAAAAAAGAATGTGAAAGATCTTGACATACCAATATGGAAAGGTCTTAAGATACTAAACTTTTTTTTAAGTGCAGCAGCATTTATGGTATAAAGTACTTTTCATAAAA